AAGGTCAGAAAGCTTACTTGCCCAGAGCCACAAAGCTGGGAAGTGCAGAGCTGTTATCCAAACACAGGCCATTTGACTCCAAAACCTGCATTCTTAACCACCAAAATGGAAGGTTGGTGTGTGACCAAAGAGGGAACCACATGTATGCCCACATGGAGAGAAGGGAAGAAGGCAGTCAGTTGTTCAATAGTGCAATTCCCAAAAGCCTCACCAAAGAGAAGGTGGAAGCAAGAGATTAGCAGCTGAGTGGGGCAGAAGTCTACCTAATTCTTGGAGGCAAAGGGGACGCACAGTCAGCAAGATCCGTGACCCTTTCCTGATGGAGCAGTTAATGGAGACCTTCAAGGAGCTCCTGATTTAAAAAGCAGTTCAAGCAGAGGTGCCTCTGTCCAAACGTGCAGGAAGCTCTCTGTGGCCCGGTTTAAAGGATGGCCGAGGGGCTTGGGTCTGCTCTTTCTTTTCTGAATAACAGCATCGCGTCAGCTTAGAGCTGGGAGGCTCTTGGAGTCATCCACACAAGCTCCTGTTCCCAGAGGAGTCTGGGGCTGGCGTGGGGAGAGATGAGAAGCAGGACCTGAGGGTGCATACTCCCCGCAATGTGACCACAGGCCATTCTTCTCTGCCTGTCCTTCCAGTCACATTTACTATTATCCCAGAGCTTCTGGTAAACTTGCACAGATTTCCTGGTTTTCTAGCATCTGAATCACTTAATCCTGTAGAAAATATTTAAATTTCATGCCAAAAATTATTAGTAAAGTTTTACCTTTTTTCTTGGTGAAAAAAACCCATTAGTCCTGGAATTGAAAGATATTGAAAAATTGTGGAGATTGTAGAGAAATACAGAGTAACACTTTCCTTGGTTATCTTGGTCCCTGGACTAATTATTGTCTCTGTGACCTCTTTCCTTGAGGATCTGTGTTCCAGAGGCTGATCCTAGAGCACCATCAATCCTTAGCATCCTCTCTGGGGACTTGGGCCCATTCTTCTGCTCCTCTGACATGTCGTCAGTGACCCAGAAATGTACCTCAGCTGTCAAAATGGTGGGGTTGCCTCCCAAAATAAAGTGTTTTTTATTTAACATACCATTTGGATAGAGCTACCCATTCAGCATCACCTCTGATAGACCAAAATGGTCTCTAAACTCAAACATGATACTTCCCAAAACCAATCTGAGGGGCCAGCCACACAGTGTTCCTAGGGCCTCTGAGGGCCTCTGTTTCCAAGAACTTCTTGGTGGCTGTAAGGCAGGCCAAGGAGAATGTAGGTTTTTACCATTGCTCCTCCTCCCTCTTTTCTGTGTGGTGAAACACACCTGGAGCTCATTCTGCTCTTTGTGTCATCTGTGCTGTTAGTATGGTGCGTTTTTCCCCTTCAGTTTGACTACTTAGGAGAAGTGGAGAGTTTATGTGTTGGGAAGGGGCTTTTAGTGTTGGGGGTTGCGGAGAGGGTTGGTTACTGTAGGTTAGCGAAGCATTTTTGCCACTTTATATGCTGCCTTGTTGAATTAGAGTTGCATGTTGGCCTTACAATTTTATTGGTCTTGGATTTTCAAGGATTCATATTCATTAAGTCATTAAATGAATGTCATTTCTGCCTAACGGTATGTGTAGCTTTTCTCTTCCTGAACCTATTCTCTGTTGAGAGTGCCTTGGCATGATTTGCTTCAAATAACTTAGGTTAAAGAGTTAGCAGGTCTCTGTGACATTTTAGTTTCAGCTCAGAGCACACTGAGCCAGTCTAGAGACACAAGCTTTCACTTCATCTGATAGCATTTCCCAGCAAAACACGGTCACTATCGATGTACATAATTGATCACTTTAAAACTGCGGAAAAAAGAAGCCTGACTTAGGTAATAAGGCATAACTTCATTATATCCTGTATGTGGAGCATAGGCATGTTGGAATGTGGCTGATGGGGTCCCATTTCAAGGCTGATTCTGATAATGATAATGTTTAAGTAGCATCGATTGTTCTCTAATTGAATTTTTCTTTCTTTAGGCCTCTTCTGAAGAGCTAAAAGCTGCCTACCGGAGGCTGTGTATGCTTTACCATCCGGACAAGCACAGAGACCCAGAGCTCAAATCACAAGCGGAACGACTGTTTAACCTTGTCCACCAGGCTTATGAAGGTCAGTACAGGGCTTGGCTCCGTGGAAACATCCTGGTAGCAGATACTCGATTTTTAAGAGATTTGATTTGTAGAGGATAGAAGAAGAGGGTCCTTAGAGGTGTATAAAAGAGGTGGTTAGTTTAGTACTTTTTACTGACAGTGTCCTTTGAAAGAGTAGTATTTTGCTTTGGAAATCAATATGTGTCTAGTAAGTAGAAAATGAGAGTCCAGGCAAAGTGATAGACCAGAGTCTCAGCTGCAGGGGAATACTCGAGCTTTACACCGTTTACCAGTTTTCTTCTAAAGGGAGCT